CCCCCCAGAGTAATGAACCTAGAGTTCTGCACATACTATGTATGTGCTCTGCCACTTTAAAATCCTTAAACTTTTTATTTGGAGGCAGGGCAGGCAGGATCTTGCTAAGTGGCCCAGGTTGGCCTTGAACTTTGGATCCTGCTTCAGCCTTCTCAGTAGCTGGGATTATTATAGGAATGATCTTGAAAATAACTTTTGATCAGCACTGAGCATTTGACCACAGAGTAGTGCTGAAATTTAAGACCAGGAGTGTAACAGATCACCTCCATTTTAAAGTAGCCTATAAGAACAAAACAAAATGCTGAGGTTTTATGCAACCACAATGGACTAATTCAGTACATAATAAACCACACTAAGTACTGTGAAAATTGACAACTCTTTTTCCTGTTGGAGGTTATTTAGGTTGAATCCAATTTGTTCACTCCCATATGGCTTGGACCAGGGATAACAATACATGCAGACGGTGAGGAATGGTAGGTTTCTGATATATTTTGAAGAAAGAACCAGCAGGATTTGCTGAGTTAGATGCAAGCTAGAAAGTAGAGTCAAAGATGCCACTGGAGTTTTTGAACTTGGTAGCTGGCAATGGGATTAACTGGGATGGGGAATGGTATGGAGAGGTTCTGGGAGTTCATTTTGGACATCTTAAATTTGAAATGTCTCTTTGGCAGTCACAGGTGGATGAGTATAGAGTTACTGAGCGGTCTAAACTGTAGTGTATCATCCAGCATACAAATGACATCACCAAGGAGGTGAGTAGAGATATTAACACTGAATAGGAATAAGGACTGATGGTGGCTAATGTTGAGGTCAGAGAAAAGAAAGGAATAAAGGGGATCGAAGTTAAAGGAAAATGTCCCCTAAAATGTCAGTTAGAAATTATCTCCATCAATATTTTATTAAAAAAAAAACATTTCCTGTTTCTGTCAATTAGAAAAGGTAGTAACAATCACCCCAAATTAAGTTATGGATCTATGATCTTCTATTATTTTCGCTGAAGCAGTTTAGAACTAATCTAAAATTGTGGGAGTTACCTTGATATTAAAGTATACCAGCAATTATAAATTTGAACAGAAAGCATTTTATCTGAGTTTGTATAATTGGTTTTTTAGAACTGTATTTCCTATACAAAAATTTAAAAATATAGCTTATACTTGATAAACAAATGATGTATTAATAAATTACCCACAGGCTGAAAACAATGGAAATTTGTTTTCTCATAATTCTGGAGGCCAGAGTCTGAAATCAAGCAGGAGTTGTTCCCTTCTTGGAGCTGAGAATCCATTCTATGCCCCACACTTGGTTCTGGCAGTGACTCATGATCCTTAGTGTTTCTTGACTTGCATAAGTCTGCCTCCATCTTCATATGGCTTTCTCTCTGTGTTGCAAATCTTCATTATAAGAACACCAATCATTGATTTAGGGCCATTTCTAATGCGGAGTGATATTATCCTGAGATCCTTTATATCTGCAAAGACCCTATTTCCAAATATGGTCACATTGCTAGGTATAGTGGGTTAGGATTTGGGCCTACCCTTTGGGGGGATACTATTCAACCCACTACTGAGGATAAAAAGGTTTGCAGGATCAGCAATAAGCCACTGGCCAATCCCTAGGAAATATAAATAGAGATTGTTGCTAAGTATCGTCTTGTGATAAAAAAGTCAAAAGGCCTTAAAAATGAACTACGTAAGAAATGTAAGCATTGTTTTAAAATTAAATTGGAGACCATACCAATATTTAATCACTCATCTTTATTGATAAAATAGTCTCCTATGCAGTATATACTCTCAGACACAAATTTGAGGTTCTTAAAAAAAAGGGGGGGGGAGTGTAGGGGATGGAAAACTGTCATTAAAAACAAAGTCTTTCAAACACCCAAGACCTTAAAATCATATTCAAGCAAGAACACCAAGAATAAATTAACTCATCTGTTTACAAAAATATTTATCAAGTAATGTTTATAATTACAGCTGCCTAATGAATTGCCTTAGAATCTCAACTGTGTAGCTTATTTAATTTTTACTTGGGATAAAAACTATTTGAATGTGCCACTGAATTAAGGTCTACTTTCTGAAAAAAATAGAAAAGTTTAAAAATAAAAGACTGTTATTTATAAAGTATCAGTTAAGGCCTCTGAATGAAAAAAGAAATTTAATGTTTTGGGCCATTATTAACCCTTTTCTAATCAGTAAGCCCCGTCTACCCTTCTCTCCCCAAATTTAATGTAGAAAATTTCTAAAGTGAAAAGTAGTTTTGAGTTTTACCAATATATGAAATTATACTTAATTGTCATGACATGATATTTAACAAATTATATACTCATAAGCAGAATTTTCTATTTGTGTTAATTTTAATGTGTGATACAAATAAGTATATTTAATAATATTTGATACTCATCCTTTTATTCTATATGATCACTACAAAATAAAGAAAAATTTAGGTTTCAATTGGTGTCAAAGTTTCTGTATCTTTTTGCTTTAAAAAAGAAATCTACTTACTGTTTGACATGTTTTAATAAAACCAATACTTGTAAATCCATAGATTTCCAACCACCTTTAGTAATGAAAGTTATTAAAACCAAACCAAACTAAAAAAACCTTAAGGGAATGAGGCAGATGGAGTTAAAAATATATTTTTTTAAAATATTTGAGTCTACTTTTTCTGTGTCTTAATTACTTAAAAAAGGGTTGTGTAAACCATAATTTTGAATTTACTTTGAAATTACCATACCTATTTTACTACATGAAACATTTCAACTTTGTTAAGTAAATGAAATATATGAGGTCCTTAAATACCAAACAGAAAAGAGAAAATTGTTTTTATTATTGACTAAAAACCAAAACTTATTCTTTCAGAGGAGTAGTTTAACCTACTAAATATGTTTATTTATAAGATCTTCTTTCTTAGAAAGTAATGTTCCTTCTCTTTCATTCCTGAAATATTTCATATTCTTTAGCAAGTTATGGACAATTGTTAGCTAAATATCATTTATGTGGTAAATTAGCTATAATTAAATTTCCTCTTTTATTTGTGGTACATGTAAAACATTACTGCAACCTTTAAACCTGAATTTTCTTTGACAAAAAAATTTTAAATTAATGGGAAAGGAGACAGGCAATCACTAAAGCTGAAGTCTTATGGTACATAACCTATTTGTTAACTCTGACACCAAACAGGAAGGATTAAATTGAGTATAAGGATCTTCCATTCACAAAACCATGGCAAAATATCGTAAATTAGGATAATTCTATGAATTCCCAAACAATTACTGGGAAAAGTCAAGTGTATCTAAGTATATCATTTAGAAAGCCAATAGCACTGCTGAAAGCTCTTGATATTTTCAGCCATCACTGTGAAAACCCTTTGTTTGTTCACCAATTAACAATGACTCAGTTTCTATTTCCATTATGTTTTGGAATAAAGTTTATGATGAACTATACATTTTTTTTTTTGGCTAACACTTAGCCAGTGCACTGTACAAACTATAGAGAAAAAAAAAAAGGGTTGATTGAATTTGAGTTTTCTCTTCATTCATTCATTTATAGGCCAGTCTTTGTGATAGTTTAGAGTCATATACAAAGTTCCCAGACTTGGAACCCTTTCAGCTCTTCCTCAGACTCAGGTCACTGTTGGTTACTAATGCTGACAAAGATGTGCTTTCTGATGCATCATCCTTCCTAAGGTTCAAAAATGATTCTCGAGTTATTTGAAGGATCTCTCTCAGGCCCTTGTTTTCTTGCTAGAAGGAGGCAAGCCAAAAAACAAAAAAAGATATAATTACCATTTAAAGAGGTTCGTGAACATGTATTAAGAAAAGCCAAACATGTGAAGGTATAACAAAAAGCAAGTTCTGTAACTGGCATAAATGTAGTTACATATAGTTGACAAGCTGAACCTAAACAATTTTTCTTTAAAAAGTGAACTATGTTCACCCTCTCCCACCACTGCAAAGCCTTATATATACAGATGTAACTGAGATAAAAACTCAAACTGCCTTATAGTCATACTAAAGATGAAGAAAATAACATCTGGATCTACATATAAACTCATAAAGGTAGTGAATAATACCCTCTGACTACACCCTCACAGTACATTAGTACTTTTATTACTTTCCATGATAGTATGGAATGTAGGACAAGCCATCTGGTTTGTTTCCCTTACACAGAAATTTGAGAGCAGCCGGGTTGAGTAGATGATATTTCTCAAGAGGAAATTAAGTAACCATATTTGACAGTGTAAAAAACTTTGCCTTGGGGTGGAGGTTGGGGTTGTGGCTCAGC